GAAAGAGTATGCAAAACCACCTCAGTACCTGCCCAAGTCTAATGTCAAAAGCTATGTAAATAAATAGAGCTAAATCCTATTTCACCTCTACTCATCTAAGTGGCACTTAGGTAGCCAGTGTAACTGTGTAATTGCAGTGTAACTGCGACTTCTGGCACTTATACACAGTTTGGAATTCAGCATAGCTACGTTCACTCTGACCTTCCTTACCGGGCACAGTCTGTAGGCTTCACCGTGGCTGCATATGTGCAGGGGGTGGAAATTGCCTTGATATACAAGTAATGCTGCTCAGGTCCTGAAACTTTTAGTTACAGAAAAAACACAACTACCAGATACTTGATGCCACAGGAGGAAAAGGAAGGTAGCCTTTCTAGATTATAGCCCAATAGCCTAGTGGTTCTGACCCTTTCCCATGGAGCAGAAGACCCAGGTTCTTGACAACCTTCATCCAGAGGGAATGTGAACTTGCTCTCTCTGACTTCCCAGCACAGTACTCCAAGCACCAGGCCACAGGCTAACTAACACACCAAGTCCTCTCCAGCTCTGTTGTTGAAACTGAGTGGCACGGGTAAGGTAAGGAAGTGGCAAAAAACTCAGGGGGTGGCTCAGTGAGATGGACGCTGCCCTAGAAGGGAGAAACCTCTGCGTTCTAGTCTAGGTTCCAGGCCCAGCGCTATGGTGGAAAGACCTGTCTCAGTACTCTGTATTTTACCCAGTGAAACTTAAACACAAGGTGCAGTGGATCAGTTTCAGAAAAACTGGGGTACAAAATGTTACAATGGAGTATACAAGTTTGCACAGAATCAACAGTAAAGCTGGCAAAATGAGCCAGTATCTCCTCAATCCCAGGTCCAGTATTTTGAGAAAAAATGATGGACAGGGCAGAATAGAACATTATCATACATAAAGCATCTCCATATGTTAGAATTTCAAGAACAGGAGTGTTGACACATTCTACAATATCATTTCAATATCTTGCAATTCACAAAAACAAGCAATCATTTTGGTGGCAGTGAGTCTTATCTGAGGTTCTTAGGGTATATGTCTATATTGTTTCTGCAACACTCTTGAGCTAACAAGTTTTAAAGCTAGCTCGCATAGGTCTTCTACATTTGATTGCTGGCGACAGCGATTGTAGTGTTGATAGGTAAAGGTTGGTGAATGAAGGCCTTAATTTACTATTGTGCAGATAGTTTTCAGGAATGTTGTTGTCATCCGCCTCATCCCAGGGAGAATGGTGAATAACTGCAATCAAGCCTTCTGCCTTTAATTTAGTATTCTGATGCCCATATGTGGTATTTTCAATAAAGAAATTATTTGCCATATAGCTCATTCCTTTCATCTACTATTTTAAAATTAACTTAATTATTACCAGCAGACATATTAAACACAAAAATGTGATTTGTATACACAGCCTTATAGTAACAATCCATGTCAATGTTATTTTAATGTGTTATACTGATTCTACTGTCAAGGACATTTAGTGAGATACTCATGTTCCCAATGAACATGGTTTTGTTGATGCCACAAAGCCTTTACAGAGCAATAAAATAAGCCATGAGAAGGTTAATAATGGCTCAGAAAAGCTTGAACTACCAACTCTGCAGCCCCAGAAACTGGCACAAATATCAAGGGAGAGTTCCCATTTTATATAGAAAATCATAGGGGTTAGGGTCACAAGCCAATAGCCAAAGGGAGGGAACAGGTAAAAGGTAAAGAAACATCAATGCTGTGGTAACAAAAAACTCAGTATCTTAATTTCTCCCCACACAGAGGTGTCACCAAATCTAGTCCCTGGATT